GTAACTGCTGTGATCTCGTAGAAGTCGTACGCCGTGTCTGCCCGAGCCAAGGAACACAATCGACTATATGAAATGGGCCGGGGTTCTGCTACATCCCCACGCAAAGTGATAGACTCTCCTTTCCAAACGAACTCCATCGTCATGGATGCATAGTCGTGGGAAACTTTTCCCAAAGGCTGAAGCCATTGAATCCCCAAGACGATATCCGGTCCATGAATCTCTAATAAATAAAGGTCGACGTCGAAGAGGTGGCCTTGTAACCAGAGCGGAGTGCCTGGACACGAGTATGAACAACGCAACGAATCACCGTTGCCCACGTAAACACGGAACGGGGTGACGGGGTGCAAGACCAAGGCCAACCGTTCAGCGACATTAGGATGGATAAAGTTGTGTGTACTGCCGCTGTCTAAGAGGACCTGAACCACTGCCGAATTAACGGATCCTGCAACCTTCAAGGACCTCGGGCTAGGGCTGCCGGCCAAGGAGTGCATAGTGGAGATATCCCCGAGTATGAGCGGAGCGTCGTCCACCAAGTCGGTGGCCGGAGACGAATCCGGATCAGGGTCATCATCGTCAGGCCCCATGAGGAGGAGAAAGCGCCGGCGGCAATTATGGGTCGGGGTATATTTTTCATCACAGTACCAGCATAATCCCTTTTTGTTTCGCTCCGCCTTGTCGGCGTTGGTGAGGCGGACAATAGGCAGGTTCGGGGTGGTGACGCGATCAGCTGTTTTCCCAACTGGAGCTACCGGCCGTGGAGTAGGCAGGATCCCAGGGGCTGAAGACGACGTACTGGCGGCGGGGGAAGGGTTCCACGCGCGGCGGGGTCCGGAGGAGTAGGTTGTGGCGGCTTCGGCGTGACAGGCGGACAACTCCCGAGCGAGGGCAAAAGCAGCTGGTAGCGATCTGGGGCTACGAAGGTTAACCTCGCGTTGTAGCGGTCGTTTCAATCCGGCCACGAACATGGACACAAGGGTTGATTCGGGCACCCCGGAGACCTTGTTGAGAATGGCCTCAAAGGCGGTTTGGTAGTCCATTACCGTCGTCGTCTGGGTCAGTTTGGACAGCAACCCCACGTAGTTTTCATAGTAGTCGGGATCGAATCGTTGTTGGACGGCCAACAGAAAATCCGCCCATGTAGCCGTGCAGTGATTGGCTTGATAGTAGTGAAACCACTCGGATGCCGGATGGTCGATTAGCATAGCCACCAGTTGGAGGCGTTCCGGCTCTGGCGTCAAAAAATAATCAAAGTATTTTTGAATACGAAAGATCCAGCCCGTTGGGTCGTCTCCGGAAAAGCGTGGGGCATCAACCCGCATGCGCGGCACCGAATCGGGCACGGAGTTGGAGTAACGTGACGGTGGCGGTTTCCAGCTGGTGCACGGCTGTTTGGTGGTGATCCGAGCGTCCAGATGTGGCTGAGACGTGATCTC